TTAGCAGATTGAATCTTTTTGCTAATAACAGATATGAAAACAAAAGGCATGAAATAGTTCATCTGCTGTCCAGGTTAGTTTCCCTGTTTGTCTCCTCAGCAAACACAAAGTTACGGACTCATTCTAACAAATGCTCTTTAGCACTTTTAATAGAGTATTTATTTTATTGCTATTTTATTATTTATGTCACCTTTTAACTTCTCTTTTCTTAGACTGTGACCAATATTAGCTGAAGAAGATGTCAAATGAAATGTGGTTGTATTTTCTGAACAATGACAATAAAGCTTTTTCTTCTTTGTTTATTTGCTCAAATGAACAAGATCAACTGAAATGAGAAGAAGTTACCGCTCTCTCTCTCTCTCTTCCTTCCTTCTGTCTCTTCAAATAAAAACGACAGAGGTGCAGGATGTGAACAGACACAGACGCCAAAGAGACACAAAACTTTACAGCCCAGGTGACAGGAAGGTGTGAATCAGCTGATCACACCGTGCAGAGCTTCAAAGGGCAGCTAACAGATAAGAGCCTGAGCTGGCTGAAGCAGCCAAATGGCCGTATGGAGAACAGTTGTTGTTCTACTGCCCCTCCTCTCCCCCCGTCTCTCTACCTGAGGAATGCAATCATGGACAATGGGAAGAAAGGACAGGAGGATCTTAATGTGCCTTTACTATCTTATGTTATTTTAAGTGTTGTTAAATGTGAAATATCTCGACAGACACCCCAAAGCTTAATCATAGTTGGACAAGTTCTTCTTGATTTTATCTGCTTGTTACATAATACATAATATATTCTAGTTCTGTATGATCTAAATATTTCATGTTTAGACTCTTTGCGATCCTCTGAATGTGAGATTTTTATTTTCATCAGGTTTAACTCTGTATAATACAAGTACATAAAGTTTTTTACCTTTAGAACAAAACTCCTGACCACCTTATGACCCCCCTGACCACAGGGGCATCACATCTAACACCCCCTCTGGGAGGGGAGCTCTTTGTGATTGGTCAGCTGTTTTACTATTAAAAAGCCATTCACCCGAAAGACAGACGGATTTTCTACCGGACACAGAACTTCTCACTTTGGTCCTTTTGTGACCAACTTTCAACTTCAACACGCTGATCCAACTCTGCTGAAGGCCACGTCTCTCCCACCACCAGACATCCCGCCAAGGACACTGCAAGTATCGAGCTTCTATCTACTAAACGGGTGCTTCAAAATTCCAATTGGCCTTAAAACAAACATCCCAAATTTATCAGTTTACCTGCTGCTTTCGGTGAAAGGCTTTTCAAGTCTCCAGGCCACACTTCTGACCCACATCTGGTTTCACACTCAGCATTTTCATCATTGTTTGCATTTTATGTTTTATATTTGTTGTTGTAGTCAGTAATAAATGTTTTGTGCGTATACTGTTGCTTCTTGTGCTTTCCAGAGCTTCCTTTCAGTCACTTTACGTATTTGATCTTTATAGTTACCTGAGCTCAAAGTTAATTCCCTGACATGATAAAACACTCTCGACTGATCGCCAAGAGTAAACTGTTTATTAGAATTATTGACTCGGAGATCAAATCGCTGGACGAACAATTTAAAGGTTGGTTTTGATCATTTTAGTTAATGCAATAACTTTCTTTATGGTGGAGACAAGTCTGACTTATTTCCCTCCTACAGAGGTGATGAGTCAAACTATTTTTAAATGCAAAGTTTTTTTTGACATAACACATACAAATGTCATTTATGTATTGCTTTTTTTTTTTTTTTTTAAATAAACACTAAAATAACGTGTAGTGATGCAAATGATTCAGTTCTATTTTGGCAGCATGGTTCTGGTTCTGCAGGAAAATAGTGACGAATACAACAATCATGTTCAAACTTTCACATTAACGTGTATTTCTAACGTTTACTGAAGGATGTTTACACATGAAAACAATGAAATTACATTTGAATACGGCTGAAAACATTATAATACAAATAATCCGGCTGCTTAATACTGAAAAAAGGTGACTTTATTAGTTTNTGAAAACAATGAAATTACATTTGAATACGGCTGAAAACATTATAATACAAATAATCCGGCTGCTTAATACTGAAAAAAGGTGACTTTATTAGTTTATGATGTCATTTTCTGCAAAAGAAAATGTAGTTTGGGTTCAAATTACATGTAAATCTTGTCTTTCACTTTAATGTTTATTGTCTACTGATGTAGTACAACACAGATAATCAATATTCAATAAGAAGGCCGAAGATATTGTGCTAATATATTCACCTGAGTTATGTTTGAAGGTTAATGTGTGCAGACAACAGTCACATTTATGAATCAGATCGCCTCAGCAGCTTTTCTAGTTTCATCAAAAACTCTAAAAAAAAATAAGGCGAGGGTTGAATCAGACATCATACTTTGCTTACTTACACTCTAAGGGATAAAGAGGAATAGCATAACCAGTTAATGAATGCATATTATGATGTTGAAGTCATAATAAAATCAATTTCATGAAGCATCAGGGGTAATAAAAACCTCATCATGGGGCCACTATCATATTATTTAATAACTAAGAGGCCTTTACAAACAGTTGGCGTGCTTCTATGTTTGTGGGGGAAACTTAGAGGGCTTTTTGTGACCCTTTGGAAGCAGCTCATGGGGCCCTTCTGCTGGGTTTGTCGCCCACCAGCCACCCGCCGGTTCATCCTCCTATCGTGACGGGACTCTGGCGCCCCCCGGCGGTCAGACTCGGCAGGTACAGAGGAGGGACGGGCGGCGAGCAGCCGGTAGGAGAGGTCACCACCGTGTTCACCGCCGCACCTCACAGACAGATGTTCTCCGTCCGCAGCGGAACAACAGGCTGTTCGCAGACTTTCCGGACACCATGAGCAGGCCCAGCGCGCCGCGGACCTCCTGCTAACAGCCCCGAAGATGCCCGATGCGTGTTGCTGTGCGCTAGAACATGGCGGAGTCGGATGGTGGAGATTTTGCTCCGAAGCATTCGCAGAGCAGGTGAGTGAGGCGGGGTGAGGGTGTGCTGTGTTCCGCGGTGGAGCGCTGCTTTCTCGCTGTTTCCCCCCGTTGGGAGTCCCCGCCGGCTCCGGGGACCGCGGCCCGGCCCGAGTTCGGCGCTGCGGCTTGAATCCAGGAAACACCGAGGCGTCGTCCGGGCCTCCAGGCAGCCGGTCTGCCTGCGCTTTGCATTGACGCCCAGCGGCGGAAATAAAGTTAAGAATGTAGGTTAGCGGGTGTAGTTCCAGGTGAAGACACACCTGAGGCGCTCTGCTGGGCTGTAAGGAGGCGACACAAAAGCTTTGAAGCATTTTCATCACTTTCACACTCAGCTGGCATCGTTAAGGTCTGACTTAACTGCTACGAAAACCTGACAAAAGTTATTTAAAGTGTGCACACAATAAAGGATAAATACAAAATATCGTCCTTCAAATGGTTTCCTTTATTAAAATCACTTTTGCCACCATTAATTCAAACCCACATAAAGATGGTTGAGAAGTAGATGAAGGTGTCAGAGTTTGAAGGTGTTTTGGCTTCAATTCAAACCATAAACATTTTTAAGTTTTCAATGGAAGAATAACACAGGTGTGTTTAAAAAAAAAAAAACATTCTTGTCTCACTGGGACTCCTACATTTAATTCCAGCAGTATTGTTTTAATAGCAGGTGACTTCAACATGTCCATTTACAGTTTCAGGATATTTGACGGTAAATAACTGGTGTACATATTAACAACTTATTGACTCAGTTGTATGTAAAACAGCCAAACCTTTTCCAAAAACAGAACACATTTCAGAACTAACATGACATTCACTGACACTGATAAACTGTCGGCTGGTGTGCAGATGAAGAAGCTCCTGAATCATTTTGTGGTTCAGGTGCGTTCAGCTCATTTTCATTCATCAGGAATGACTTTCTCTGGAGACACACACACAGCATCCTGCAGGTTAATGCTGCACTGCTCATTCCTTTTTCTAGGGCTTCTGTCCCATGTGTGCAGAGGGGGAGGATGCCTTTCCTCTTTATTAACCTGCACATCCCCCCTAATACTGGATATTCATCATTAACTGGGCCTGAATATCCAGAGCGCAGAAAGTGCTGTTCGGACCAGTCCTACTAGTTATTATAACAACTATGAACAATAATTACCAACAAATGAGCCTTCCAGCATCGAGCCCTCCTTGTATCTCGACCTCCGTCTTGACAATCCGACATAAAAGAAGGTTTCACATTCAGTGTCGGATTATCGAGTCACGACTGTATTTAGTTTACATTCATGTTTTAAGGCTGCAACAAAAACATCTTGATGCACAAGATCAGCACGCAAGTATGAACAGGTACACAAAACTAAATACTTTATTGCTTCAGTCTCTGGCCCGTTGTACCTTTAATATTTCATGACCTTATTGGATGACGGCAGTGGAAGCGCTAACAGAAGCCCCTTTCAGGCATGCACTCCTTTCTATCGATCTGAACATGTCGACTACATGTCTGAATGAGCGCTACGGGCACTTTACCGTAAAAGCTGCAACTGCAATCTTACGACGCCTCAAGTCTAACGCACTAACAACATACTTCAAAATCCTTCCCCAAATCAACGTCAGACTTGAAGTATGTCGTTTGAGGTTTACATATTTCAGCGTTAGCATCACAAAGACTGCAGAAGACCTAGTTTGCGTGCCAACATCGAAAGGTATTTTCCGCGTTCTTTTTGCCCTGCAGTTTCACATCTCCTACAAAGTCAAATGTCCAGAAAAATAAAACTGAGATGAAAGAGTCTCTAACAGGTCTGATTATTTTTTATCGTATTGTTAGTAAATTCGCCGTCACACAGAAACAGAAACATGAATAATAGTTTGATATTGTACATCCCAGAGTGCTGTCTCTTTGTTACTGAGGTGAGGATGTCTGTATGAAGCCACGAAGAACAATCATGTAAACGTGATCCATGTCCGACTGACAGAATGCCGTCGCTTTAACAGACTGATGAAACCGAGAACGTCCAAACACTACCATGGAAGCAGTCTCAGTACAGCCGTCTCTTTCATGTGTTGTTTCTGTGTTGGGGCTTGTGTTTCTTCTTGACATGATGTCAGAACGACTTTAATGCTCTCTCTCTGTTTCTGTTTTGATCTCTTAACGTTTGATATTTCTGTCTCTTGAGATGAAATTTCCACCCAAAGCACTTTGTGTCGTGTCTGTGTGCAGCAATAAAGTGTCTAAGCAGAGCAATAGCTTTTCTCCTCATCAGAATTGTGTTTATGTTCAATGTACAGACACATTGTTAGTAATGCACAGCTCTATACGCTACAGAACAATCCCCCCCCCCGGCTGACTTCAGCAGATTAAATAAAATTCACAGTGTTGCTGTCACCAGACACTCCATATCCACATCCCAGGGCTGTACAGCACATTTGTTCAGCGCATATTAGCTCCTAATAGCCTAGATGTACGTTAAAATAAAGTTAAATAGAGAACTAAAGGTCTGTAGAAAATGTGTAAATCTCATTGGGACAAAAAGGGAGCTATCTCTTTAGTCACTGATGGTGACGAGGCCTTTCTCTCTTTCCAGTATGGCAAACAAGAATAGCACCCTTCGCTGTACTTTCTCGGCTCCCAGTCACAGTGCCACCCTCCTCCAGGGCTTGTCGGTTTTGCGGGCCCAAGGCCAACTACTTGACGTCGTGCTGGCCATCAATGAGGAGCGCTTCCAGGTCCATAAAGCAGTGCTGGCCGCCTGTAGTGATTACTTCAGGTTAGTCTGGAGCATGAGACTTCACACTGCTCATTTCATTTTTAAATCGGAAGCTGATGCTCTTAACCGGACCAAGACTGATGAATAATGTATTTGCAGAATACGCTAAACACATGTTACTTTGTCAGTGTTAGATTATTGAACACAAGTGTGTCCATTTAGTGAGGACATTTTAAAATGCTGAATTACTAAATACAAATCAGACATTTGTACAAAAGGGTGACATGACAGTGCAGCTAAATATAGTCACATTGTTTTGCACACTTGTCTCATTAAAAAGTATTCTTCAGTTCATCTGCCTCGCACACCAGACCTCAAACAAACAGTCGTCTAGAAAGAAGAATTGGACAATTGCTCTGACTTAGTCATGGAACGTCATCAAAAATTCACGCAGTTTTAATCTGTGGAATTGTAAAATATCATGTGGTTTACTGACATGTTCTTGTGTTACAGAGCAATGTTTACCGGAGGCATGAGGGAGTCTAACCAAGATACCATTGAGCTGAAGGGACTGTCTGCTCGAGGGCTGAAGCATATTATTGACTTTGCCTACAGTGCAGAAGTGACTTTAGACCTGGACTGTATTCAGGATGTCCTCGGGGCTGCAGTGTTTCTGCAGATGGTCCCTGTCGTGGAGCTCTGTGAGGAGTTCCTCAAGTCAGCGATGAGCGTCGAGACCTGCCTGCACATCGGGCAGATGGCCACCACCTTCAGCTTGTCTTCCCTCAAGGAGTCGGTGGACGCCTTCACCTTTCGTCACTTCCTCCAGATTGCAGAGGAGGAGGACTTCCTGCACATTCCCATGGAGCGCCTCATCTTCTTCCTTCAAAGCAACAAACTGAAGAACTGCAGTGAGATCGACCTCTTCCACGCCGCCATCAGGTGGCTCCAGTATGACGGGTCGCGCCGGGCTCAAGCCAGCAGCGTCCTCTGCCACGTGCGCTTCCCGCTCATGCGCTCCTCAGAGTTGGTGGACAGCGTTCAGACGGTGGACATCATGGTGGAGGACGTGCTGTGCCGACAGTATCTCCTTGAGGCCTTCAATTACCAGATACTTCCCTTCCGACAGCATGAAATGCAGTGCTCGCGGACGCTCATTCGTTCTGACGTCATGTCGCTCATCACCTTTGGCGGGACACCGTACACCGACAACGACCGCACAGTGAGCACCAAGGTGTACTACCTCCCCGACATTGCTTCGCGCCAATTCAAAGAGCTGACGGAGATGGAGGCGGGCTGCAGCCACGCTTGTGTCGCCGTACTCGACAACTTTGTGTATGTCGTCGGTGGACAGCACTTACAGTACCGCAGTGGCGAGGGGGCGGTGGATAGCTGTTTCCGCTACGACCCTCATCTGAGCCAGTGGCTGCGCATCCAACCCATGCAGGAGGCTCGTATCCAGTTTCAGCTCAACGTGCTGCATGGACAGCTGTACGCCACCGGGGGGCGCAATCGATCTGGCAGTCTGTCATCTGTAGAGTGTTACTGTCCGAAGAAGAATGAGTGGTCTTATGTGGAACCACTAAAACGCCGGATTTGGGGTCACGCAGGCACCCCCTGCCGAGAGAAGCTGTACATCTCGGGCGGTTACGGCGTCTCGTTAGACGACAAGAAAACTCTCCACTGCTACGATCCAGCGTCGGACCAGTGGGACTTCAAAGCTCCCATGAATGAACCCAGAGTGCTGCACGCCATGATCAGCACCAAGGATCGGGTGTACGCCCTGGGTGGTCGCATGGACCACGTGGACCGTTGCTTTGACGTGCTGGCAGTCGAGTATTACATTCCAGAGAGCGACCAGTGGACCACCGTCAGCCCCATGAGAGCGGGCCAGTCCGAGGCAGGCTGCTGCTTGCTGGACAGAAAGATCTACATCGTCGGCGGCTACAACTGGCACCTGAACAACGTCACGAGCATCGTTCAGGTGTACAACACAGAGACAGACGAGTGGGAGAGGGATTTGCACTTCCCAGAATCCTTTGCTGGAATCGCTTCGACACCGATTCTACTTCCACAGAACACCACTCAGCACTGAGCATCTGACCTGCGACTGTGAACATTTTATTCCATGTGCTCTTTCTGCCGACCGTCGAGTCAACACAAGGTGTGAACGTTATGTAAGTGTGTGTGTGTGTGTGTGCGTGTGTGTGTTCATATGAGCGAGTGCCCTCAAAAGCTACTGAACTGCATCACTCAGAAGTGTGTGTCATTTTCTAGCCTTGTTTTGAATAACACGTTTATTCAACTATTCATTAATATTTCATGTAAAAACAAACAAACTTGTAAGGGTCTTTCTTTGAGACATTTTGAACTTTTGAATTAAATCTTTGACTGCTGACCAACACATGTTGATATGTTCAAGTGAGGAAGGTATTGTTGAGTAATCTGTTGTTTGAATATATTTGTGGATATAATTATTAGACCACTGTGACCGCTGTTTGCTGACTCTTCCTTTGCGGTTCTTCATGGAGCCAGACTGGGTTCTCTTCTTAAGCTTGTAATGGATTCCAAACCGGTTAATAATACCTCTTCATTAAGCACCAAGATGGCCGTCTTTGTCGATATCATCTTGCAGTCCTCTTCCACATTCGGTTGTTGACTTTTCATATACAGTTTATGCATAAAATAATTGGCTCAAAAAATGTTTTCGGTCATCGAGTGTGAATTTTGGAATGTTTACAGTTTCAGTACATATGTTTGAACATAATGTATGTATTGAATTATTCCATGTATGTGTGTCTTTAGCTGTAATCGTTTAAACAGTTCAAACAAAATAACTGAAGGTCTGTTGTGTAGACTTTGGAAGGAAAGCAGGCGGTCTAATGGTTATTTCTAAAGCTCAGATCTGTCTGATGCCCAATTGGAACATGTGAAGTCATGTATGCTTGAAGAGATCATTCCAGAGTAGCATTAGCTAAACGTGTAGGATTTTTTTATGACAGAAATATTGATGGTTCAGTCTGTAAAAGTGTTAAAGTTTTACCAATCAAAGGGCTTTAGTTACATGCAGCACAAATAGTCTCTTTTGATTTTATCCTATCATTTAATCGGAGCAGGTGCAGAGACATTAACACACTCAACCTTTATCACTTTGGACGTTTTGATTGTACAGTTGTGATTTATTTTTTTTTTTTAATCTTCTTGTAATTTTGTTATTCAGAAAATCTTAATGTTCGATGTCTCCTGAGGTGTACTAATCAACAGACCACATATCAACACACGGTGACGATGGCACAAAAATCGAGTGTTGGATGTGTTTCGACTTTGAACCAGTCGTTCCACATCACGGTGTTAATGTTTATTATTTACCACTGCCCTCGTGCTTCCTGAGCTGAAACCCACACAAAGCGGTGGGGACGTCTTACGGCAGCTACATGACTCGTGTGTGTGTCCTTTAGAACATCTGTGTGTGCTGCTCTTTGTGTTCAAGGAGCACCACGACTTGCACAAAGCACATGATTTGTCCTTAAGGTAACATTTAACTGTGCGAAGGGTAATTGTTATTTAAAAAGTGAAGCTATTTCTCAGATTTTTCACAAATGTTTAATTCACACAGCTGGTGTTTTCATTTTTACTGCATTGCTGCACTTTCCAGATTCCTGACGCTGACAACGTCCGTGTGCTCAACGCGTTTACTAGTAAGAAGCAAACTTCTTGGTTTTCTTTTCCAGCATGATGGTGAGGAGCGTCCTGTCTAAACCTGTCTCCTGTCTGCCTTAGTGCGTCTTCGTCTTGGTCTACCTGTGTCAGTAAAAGCACATTATATTGTTGAAGTGCAATATAAAGGAAACTGCTGTAGTCAAAGGGGAATGTACACGTTTGTGTAGCTTTATGTGCTTCCTTTAATAAAGCTGTCTCATGTTTTAAAAATACCCCGCAGGTGCTTTTCATGTTTTTATATTAGCAGGATGATGCATCTCCACAGAAAGTCCGCTGCAGCGTGGCCTTGCATTCTAAAAGGTGGAACTATTAATAAAGCCACACGTTTCCTCACACAGCTACAGGGAGCTGCAGGTTCATGTGCAAAGGCAGATGTTTTTTTAAAATTATTCCTTAATGTGCAGGTTATTTCTTTGGTTAATTGATTCATGAACGATCAGTTATTTTTCAGTATTTCAGTTCTACTTTTCAGTTGTGTTGCAAAAGCAGGCAACTTCTGAGGACTAGTAGTGACAGCCAGTTAGATTTTAGTTGTACAGTAATAAAGCAGGCTGACACAGTGATTCAGTGTGACATAACGGCTTACAGTTTTCCACTTTTAATTTCTGTGGTGGGTTTGTTTACATCTCATATTAAACCAACAACAGAGATGGTAGATCTTTGAAATACATATCAAAGACAACCAGTCCAACTCTCCCTGAACTCAGTTCTCAATGAGCATTTGTCTACTTGTCCTTAACTATTCAAACTGGTGTAATTTTGTTGTGCTTGTCAGTCAAAGGGGCCATTAGAAACAGTGAGAATTATAATAAATTTAAGGCTTCTGGGTGAATTTAATTTGCACACTGTAAAATAATATTTTAGAAAAACAGCAAAATAGTGTAGAAATGATCAAAATGATAAATATATTGTTGAATATCGATGAAATAATGATATATTTTAGTTGATTTAAATACAGTAAAACACATTTTTTGCACACATTGTAAAAAAAAACAAACAAGAAACATGATTTATCATTTTGGAATTCTAAGTATACATAATTGTCCTTACAAAAAACAGCAAATGTCTGTATAGTAAGGATATCTTTTCTGATTAAAAGTAAACAGCAGTAACAACCATTTGTAAATATATATATATGATGTGGACATTATTTACAGTTTTTTTGTGGTTAACATTTAAATTGTTTTTGTAATCTTGCTAGTTATCTTAACAAAACCTGGAAAATAAAAGTAGATTTTTTTTTTTTTGTTTAAAAAAAAAAATACAACAATTTTTTTTTTTTATAAGAATGTTAATTTAATAAACTGCAGTTAGTGTATCAGTTTAGACAAAATGCTCTTATATAGATATTATAATATATATAGTTGTGTTATCAGAATCAGAAACAGGTTTATTGCCAGGTACAGTTTATGAAATACAAGGAATTTATTATTATTATTATTATTATTATTATTATTATTATTATTATTAAAATAATAATAATATAGAAAAACATAGAAGATGCAAATATAAATATAAAATATGAATCTGTTGGGACATGATTTCTTTCATAAACAGAAAGTCATTCTGCCTGCAGTAGTTCTCATACTTAACATGACCTTATCTATGTAACAGACCAACAGCACTGAGGTGCATCACTGAAGGCTGCAGCAGAACCTTCCTCCCTTGATGCCATCAGTCTGCACAACTTACACCCCTCATGCACTGTCTGTATCTCTGCTAATATTCACAACATTAGAATTACACCGTTTCCTCACACACTCCATCTACACATGTAACACAGTAAAACAGACGCACCTTCCTGCACCTGCTCTACATTCATTAATGCTCTATGCGCTCCATCGCTTCCTGTCATTTCATCCTCTTTGATGATTTTATCCCATTCTATTTGTCGCGAACGCCCGTGCTTATTTATTTATTTGTGCGACTATTTATATCAGGCATCTAGGGCACACGGTTTCCCTTGTGGTGGTTCTTATTTTTATCTGCCTCTCACCCTGCCTCACTCTCTGGCAGCGGTTGAAGCGAGCAGCCGACAACATCAATAGACGCGCGCGCCGGTGTTCGTGCGTGATGACGTCAGCAGAAGGCCCCGGCGCGGTGCGTACCGTAACATTCCATTGAGAAGAAGAGGGAAAGATGGCGTCCTCTAACAATCCTCGCAAATTTAGCGAAAAAATCGCTTTGCATAATCAGAAACAGGCGGAAGAGACTGCGGCGTTTGAAGAAGTGATGAAAGACCTGAACATCACCAGAGCCGCGCGGGTAAGAGCTCCACGTCTCGGCTGTTTACATTTTTTTTTTTTTTTTTTTCTTGCATCGCTGTTTGACAGCTAACGAACACTGCGGAGATAAATCTGGACGCTGGGATGCTAAGTAGCTAAAGTTCACATTAACGTCCTCGGCTGCATCGGCGCCACATCGCCAAATTACGTTTCCCTCCTCCGCCTGCTTTACAAACGTGCCAGCGTTGTTGAGACAGGACGGGCTGCTCGGCTCGGCTCGGCTCGGCTCGGTTAGGTTAGCCCGCTGGAGCTGTGAATAATGTGCACCTGTTCTGTGTCTGAGGCTGCTGCGAGCACACACCGCTGACATTTCGTTAGCTCGGCTGCATCAAAACATGTTGGGAAAGTTAGCTGCTAGGATCTGGGTTGGAGACGTTACTGGCTGGGATCTATGGGAGGAAGGAGGCAGCCTTCAGCTAGTCGGGCAGATGTTAACCAGCTGTGCTTGTTACCACCCACTGTTTACCCAGCCTTACATTACCCAGCTATTTTTAACCAACACCGTACCTTGATGGAGAATAAAGTGTGCTCCAGCTAAACGGTGCACATGACTCCGTTGTGCAGCCTCCAGCAGTTTAATTTACTACACCAGCGTCAAGTGACTGGAAAGCTCCTCACGACAAAGATAGCTTTAAGTAGCTGCAACTCACAACTGTTTCGATTCTACATTCATCTGTCGACTATTTTCTCGATGAATCATTACTTGTTTGGTTGATGACATGTAAGAAAATGTTGATCGGTGCTTCCCGAAGCCCAGATGATGTCCTCAAATGTCTTGTTTTGTCTCCACACATGTAATCAAGGAGGAAAGAAACCAGAACATGTTCTAGATTAAGTAGCTGGAATTTTTCCTTGGAGAAAAAAAAAAATATTTATATTAATTGGCGGCTAGTTCCTATTCTCTAGACCTGCACCAAACACTTTTCATGGCTCAGTTTCTTATTAAAGTCAGTTATTTAATGCAGAACTGAAGGGATGGGTCGATAAATAACCAGGTAGCCCGGCGGGTTGAATGGAAAAAACAAACCAGCTGTGTGTCATTTACTTAGTTTAGGATTATTTTCATAGTTGACAACTAGTCAATCAGTTTTTCGTTGCAGCTCTAACAAACAATTCTCTCAATCTCCTTTTTAAGTCAGATGTTTGGTGTAGAAACGAACGAATTACTTGATAAATTGATCAGTCCATTGATAATAAATAATCAGTGATTTTGTATGAAGTAGTGGGAGTGCCAAATTACAAAAATAAATCACTAAAAGAATAAAAATAAATAAAAGCGGAAATAAAAACAAGGATAAATATAATAATAATAATTTATGTATTATTATTTTGTTATTTTTAACATTTATTTTGTTTTTTTTTAACCATTTTTTCTTTCTTTTTTTGTTATTTGTTTTTATTTTTTTCAATTTTTTTTTGCTTTTAAAGTGACATTTATTTTAAAGCGACTTTTTCTTTTCTTCTTTTTTGCTTTTAATTTTGATAAATAATCTCTCAAGTCAGTAAGTTATGCAGAAATGCCAACCAGTTTGGTTCTATTTTATATTACTGTAAACTGAATGCCTTGAAGCTTTGCAACTCTCGGTTGAACAAAATTTAAGTTTAAGACTTTATGATTCTGACATTTTGCAGACTGACCAATACTCAGTGGATTAATTAGTCATAAAATGCCAGTTTTCAGTATAACAAAATAGTGGAAAATACCCACCTACTCGAAACGTTATTCAAATCCCAGTAAGTCCAATATCCAAACTGCAGGAGCTGCATTTTTTTTTGGTATTAAATGAAGCACAGTGGTGCTCTCTGGCCTACAAATCACATTCTCCAGATACTTCTTTCAACTGCAGGAATAATCGCTTTATCATTTTTATTTTTATTTGTTTTAGCAGCGAAAAATGCAAATCAATCCCACCAAATCGTGACCACAATTGCAATATCTGTCGAAATATTGTACTAAGATTTTTTTATTTTTTTAACGCATTGCAAAACATATCAAGTTGCTGTATCTTGTTCTGGTCAAGATAATCACATACCATTAAATATAAAATGTAGAAAAACAGCAAATCTTCACAATTTGGAAAACCAGTGTGTCTATTTGATTTTTTTCCGATCAATGAATCAGCTGTTACGGCTCTGTTTACCACAAAATAAGCACTACGTTGTTGCCGGGAAACGTTTGGGCTAATTGTTGGTCCGGTTGCTGGAAATGATGGCCACTTACCGCGCTGCATCAGTGTAAACCTGAGCTGTAATGTTATTTATTGCAAGGGAAAAATTTAATTAACTACTCAGTTTTATGGTCTCTGCCTGATTTCTTTGTGTTGCCATCCAGACATCAATCCATCGCATTAGTCCTGATCGTCATCGTTCTTGCCGCAGATCACTATTGGTGTAAGAGGCCTTCCATCACAGTGTTTTTTTTTGTTTGTTTGTTTTATTTTAAAACTAACATACATGACTTTTGTGACTGAGTTTTGTATTAAGACATGTGGTAATAGCCAGGTGTGTTACATGGAACGTCTGACTGTAATTACACCAGCTGTCAGTCAGGTGTCATTCACATCGAGCTGATGTGATTTTTATTTGCTATGAAAGATGTTGTCCGCCTCTCGATTATTCATGAAACAGCCACATCTGCCTGTCTCGTCGTGTTTCATCCGTCGATTAATCGATTCATTTATCTCTCATGTCACCACTGTGGACTGGCATGCGTCATTCATTTTTAAGCATCTCTTTTTTTTGTGAATCGGATCAATCATTCACTCATGCTTTCATGCAATTTTACTTTGCACAGTTGCAGTTACAGAAGACCCAGTATTTGCAACTAGGGCAGAATCGTGGACAGTACTATGGAGGCTCACTGCCCAATGTCAATCAGATTGGAAATGGCAACATTGACCTGCCTTTTCAGGTGAGCCCTTAGCCTCTCTTGGCTGGTAAATCAATGGTTTGTTCTAGACCAGTGTACCTTTCTCAGCTGTTGGCGATAATATTGGACATGCAAGGGTTGCGGTTTGTCTGTAGCATCGGTGAAACATTGATTCAAAACAGAGAACTCCTAATAAAGGTGTTTAAGAAAGGCTGCAGGCTTATTTTAGGCTGTGATGACAGTAAAGTGTTTAGACATTACTTGCTGGTCAACGCTGTGTAATCCACCAAGATTTATTATTGTTCAAGAGCAAAAAGGGAAGATATAACAGTTCTACCCTGCAGTGTAATTTGGTTCCAAAATTTTAAAGTGTACCATTGCTTGTCACGGCTTTCCATCTTTAAATACATTTGCCAACTCAAGCATCAGTATGGGGGGCCCATGGCTTGACTCATTTTGAAATGAACACATTTGCACCATTAATCCTAAGACATTATCCTAAGACGTAGCTTTGTTGTGTAAGCCGGCTGTTTTTCTGGCCTCATTCACGTGGTGTGTTCACTCTAGAACTCGGTGCTGGATACCAGCCGGACAACCAGGCACCACGGGCTGGTGGAGCGAGTTTACCGCGACCGGAACCGCATCACTTCTCCTCACCGCCGGCCGCTGTCAGTCGACAAACACGGACGCCAAATATCCTTTTGAAACACACCCGATGAGGAGGATGTTTTTGACTCCGTTATTATTGCCTTTATGCTGCTGTTCTTCCAGAGGCGTTCAGTCACACCGTAGTCTGTATTAGTCTGCCTCTGGGGATAATTTAGGCTTATTTTTGTTTAATTTGGCCATTTCAACAGACAGAAAGTCACCTGAGTTGTTTGCAAGTATTTATATGATACATTACACCTTGTGTAATGAAAGTAATCTCTGCCTTTTTTGTGTTATAGTTAGAAATAAAAAGACAATGAATTTGAAGTTGCGATGAACGACATCACTCTGGCTTTTTATCTACTTCCGTGAGATAGTTGAGGCTTGATTAGCATGGGTTAGCTACCACAAGTAAGCAAAGTGTGAAAGTCCAACGTATTATTTAATTCTCTGGACATGTTCAACTTGGAGTGCAGCGGTGGAGAACAGGCCTAATCAGTTTCTATCTCTGCATTTATCTACACCCAGCAAAGGGTTTAGCCATCGTCTGTGCTTTCACATTGTCAATACCAGCGATTGATAACCACATTGAGTTAAGGAGTTGATTCCTGTTCTGCTGATCGACAGAGATCTCGATCACAAAATTATCAGTCATCAATCGGCACAAGCTCAACCGACACAATGACAATCAGGACGTGTTGTGACAGTGAGATCTCATCATTACAGTTCAGCACACTCTGAACAACGAGTGAGAGGATTGTTTATTTCACTACATGTGTTGACAGCCTGCTATTAAATGATGCAACGCACTACAGTGTGTGTTGATGCACTCCAGCTGACAGGATTATTCTTACAAGTATACGCCGCCATCAGATAACAAGACATCAAAGTAATCGTGCCTCATAACACTCATGTGTGGTGATTTATTATGTATCAGGTCTCTAAGCCAAGAGGCATGAAAACCCGTATTATCTCAGATCTATTTTTTAATCCCCCACAACTTCATTGCCCTTAACTAAATTCACATTGACAGCTGTCCTTACAGCTCAGTTTACCTCTCCCCACCACCAGACACTAGCTGGAGAAGGTAAGCCGCCTCCCTTTGTCCGTTTGCCAACATGATAACTAGGACACACAAGCAGACACAGCTCGCTTCCAAAACATTAAATTACACGAGCTTTGTTGGTTCAGGCATTTAAAAATGAAACCAACCACGACGAAGGCCGCATATCGGGCTTTATGATGGCAAGTAGAGGCGTGTAACGTGGTGCGATTCTTGATGCTGTAGAGCTGGCACTCTGCCGGTGTCGAGGATTTGGCAGTGATTTTGCTGACTTCTCATCTTTCTAACACATACAGGACAAATTCGGACTCTGCCTTACACCAGAGCGCCATGAATCCGAAGCCCCAGGAGGTGTTTGCAGGGGGATCACAAGAGCTGCAGCCTAAACGAGGTAAAGGAATATCTAGTAACAAAGACACAGAGCCGCCTTTATTTATTTATGTACAATGTGCTAATGCAGGCGGCAAACCTCAAATGACATAAAAGGGTCGATGTCACAGAAGTAGGTCTAGACTCTGAGTGAAATATTTATGGAGTAAATGGATTCTGATCTCCAGCAATGAAGTGTTTGAGCATGCAGGTACACTTCTCAGCTGGCTGTAGAGAGGGAACGTCTCTGAATGAAGCTGATTGAGGACGATCCAGAGAGGAAAATCTATAATTAACTGATTATGCATTGATTATGTCTCTTTTTTGGTGAGAGGTTCTGATATAGTGAAGCCAAGATTGGCTGGCATCCGTTCAGTCTGTCTGGTGGTCACTTTGCTATTTTTAGACTCTTAGGAATCTAGTGCACAGCACTATATTCTGCATGACTGGCTCTGATATTGATGACTCATTTCTTGCACTGATTTCAATTGTTGTGTATTTTGTCATAGCAAGCAACTGTGTCTTGCTGTTTCACTAATTAGTACTGCTGCTAACAGTGCCTGGGACGGAGAATTCAGAGCCAAATGCAGACAAGGACGCACAGAAACAGTTGTGGGATGACAAGAAGGTACTGATGGGACAGGGACGGGCTACAGAGTGTACGCTCACCCAGCCAGATTTGCGGCTCACAATTCCGTTTTCTCCTCAGGATGATTCATCAAAGCCGAACACATGCGATGTCCCAGGAATCAAGTGAGTGGCTGTAGTTAGCTGTGTTATTGTGACACCCAGGGAGGCCGACACCTTCACGTATGGAGCCCTGGAACACCAGACTGATGTGCGATATTGACCGGTCATGTGACTAGACGGAGACACGACCACAGTCGGAGAAACAGATTGCAGATTGTTTTGCATTTTTGTTCTTTTAGAGGTGAAATCAGAATGTTCAAAGCTGTCATCAGTGCTTTAAAGAAAGGGCAGGTATTGCTGGAGGGTGCTAATACCAAAACTCCAGGGATTAGAACCATCTTTATAGTTTTATTTCATTTTTGTTTGAATAAAAATGAAAGTGGTGCAATTTAGTTTTATGAGCACTGATCCTAAATGACAGATGTTTTATGTACGTTCATGCTGGTGAAGGATCGTCTGGTCTTATTTTTAATCATAAGGTACTTTTTAATGTCAAGTTTATGTTGAACTGATCTTCCCTTTAAGTCTTCATGCACCTGACAGTTTGCCAAACCATTAGGCAGGTGTGGCCAGTCCTCTTAAGTTGACATTCTGCCATCCCTAAACTATTATTTTTTATCTAATTGAAGCTATGTAGTGTCATTCCATGCTTGTTAAAGTGGTATTATCACTAAAATGCCAGCACAGATGAAAATGAGTTCAGATAGCAGTAAAGTGCCTTTAGCTAAAATAATGTTATGTGGTGATTGTTAAAAGTCTCGTGCACATACATAAAAAATATATCATCCAATAAGAGAAGCTTTCCTCGTGTCTGATAGAACGTGTGTTTTTTAGTATATTTCCATCACCAGACCAGGAGCTGAACCCATCCGTGCTCCCAGCTGCCCACAACACCGGCGGTTCGCTACCCGACCTGACTAACATCCAGTTCCCTCCTCCGCTATCCACCCCGCTGGACCCCGAGGACACCGTGGCCTTCCCGTCTCTCAGCGCCGCCAACAGCACGGGCAGCCTGACCACCAACCTCACCCACCTGGGCATCAGCGCCGCCAGCCACGGTAACGAGCACCGCTTCATGTTCATTAGGCTGAGGGGAAAGAAAAGGCACATTTAACAACGCATAGGGAAAAAAAATACTGCATTCTGTCCACTTCACTAGATGTCAGTGTGTGGTAGTTAAAAAGAAAACAGTGTGGAGTTTTGGTTCTGATTGCAGAAGATTTAGTTTGTCATCAAAATAAAATGTAGATGTCAAAGCTTGGAGTTCTTAAAAACACCAACATGTCAACAGTTTTCTCAGAATACCAGAAAATAGCAGGACACAGTTTGATGCTGTCTTATCACCTCCTCAAGTGTGAACACATGCAGCGTTAGCATGAGTGTGGCGTCTGGATCAGCAGGCTGCTGGCTGCCTCTGCGTAGCTTCAGATGGCTTCCTGAGCTGACGATCAGTTAGGACCAGTCGCTGCCTCTCACATCAGAGTACTTCATGAAAATATACGAACACATCTCGACACTTAGCGAAGAGTTTGTTTGTAGGTGAGAGCCACTGTGAGTTTTACACCATCGGAGTGAGGACATTCTGGTAAAGCGGTGGCTTGTTGAGCAATGTTCACTTTTTTTGTATTTTTGTTCGAGAGCTAAGACGTGATTTTAGGGTTAAAGGTGGTGCATTCAATTCTAATCTGAAACACTTTCTGCAAAATTAAGTCTTCACGGTCTGCTAGCTGTCCATGTTTCTACGCAGCCCTGGCTCTGTAAATAGGAAACAAAGGGGATCACATCGATCCACACAACATTGTTTTAGTGTGTCCCGTGCATGTTTTTGCTTGTGCACAGAGAAGGAGGGGCTACAAGGTGAGCAGTGGTTAGCACTGTTGCCTCGCAGCAAGAAGGTCGCTGGTTCGCGTCCTGGTGAGGACACCCGGGATCTTTCTGCGTGGAGTTTGCATGTTCTCTGGGTTTTCTGTCCGGGTTCTTCAGCTTCCTCCCATGAGGTCCAAAAACATGTTGAGGTTAATTAGTGATTCTAAATTGTCCGTAGGTGTGAATGTGAGTGTGCTTGGTTGTCTGTCTCTAAGTGTAGCCCTGTGATAGACTGGTTACCTGTCCANTTTAGTGTGTCCCGTGCATGTTTTTGCTTGTGCACAGAGAAGGAGGGGCTACAAGGTGATCAGTGGTTAGCACTGTTGCCTCGCAGCAAGAAGGTCGCCGGTTCGCGTCCTGGTGAGGACACCCGGGATCTTTCTGCGTGGAGTTTGCATGTTCTCTGGGATTTCTGTCTGGGTTCTTCAGCTTCCTCCCACAAGGTCCAAAAACATGTTGAGGTTAATTGGTGATTCTAAATTGTCCGTAGGTGTGAATGTGAGTGTGCTTGGTTGTCTGTCTCGAAGTGTAGCCTTGTGATAGACTGGTGACCTGTCCAGGTGAACCTGCCTTCACCCTGAGTCAGCTGGGATAGACTCCAGCCCCCCATGACCCTAGTAAGGATTAAACGGTATATGGATGGATGGATGGATGGATGGATGGATGGATGGATGGACAGAGAAAGAGGCGAGATGGAAGAGAGAGGGACAGAAAATCTGGCACAGGCTAACCATCTGATCTGGATTTGTTAACTGGCTAAATGTCAACAATCTTTCTCTAAAATAACGGACTCCTCCTTTAAGTTTGGAATCAGTTTTAGGGTTCAGGTTCAGATTAACACTTAGTTGTCATGGTTATGGTTGGGTTAATGCACTTGGGTATGCATTATCTAATTCTATGTGCTTCTCTCTTGGCGGGTCGATGAGCTGAAAGTATTTTTTTCTGCCACACCTTCACATTAATGTGTTTGTGTTCACAGAAAAGCTCACTGAACACTAGACAGCTCATTTTACTGGACGCACACTTCTTACTGCGTGTGAAGTTGTTTGGGATGTTTACTGACTGTCAGGTGTTCGGGTATCGATTCTATGTCCAAGCATTTGACTAATTCTGCAATGACTGGTCCGGGTAGCATCAGCTCTGCTCCTCAGGCTCACACACATTCGCCGCTTCATTCAGTGGTTCTGGTAGCTGCAGCTTTTCACAACAATCGCATTAAGTGTGTGTGGGTTCGCTCTGCTTGCCAGCTGCACTTTGGGTGCTTTTTGTTGATTATAGCGACTCACACAGAGGACACGCTGTGCAGAGTAGCATTCACCGTGAGCCCATGATGTCAGTCTCTTTCACTAACTGTTGGCAACCTGAATCAGTTGCCGACACGCCCCGTTCCTCCTGCTGCGAAAGACTCCAATCACTCACTGATGCTGTAGGCCGCCTGTTCCAAACCGGCACATTTTGAACCCCAGATACATGCATTATCTGCTCATGAATTGTAAAATAGGTTGTGATTTCAGATTCAGTTGTTGTTTTCCTTTGCAGAAAAATATTCTGATCAAGCAGCCTCTAAATAGGTCATGTTCATATCTAAGTGCACAACAGAACACTGATGTGGTTCACCTTTATGTCTCTGATTGCCGGCTGATTTATGCTTCTTGTTTTGTGTCAGTTGGTGCATTAAAGTTTAGTGCCAGATAGAGGAACTAGTCTTGTCTACATCTGTGTTTTATTTTTCCTTTCCAGGGATCCCCGCCTCCTCTCAGCCCACCATGACTGTAACGGCACAGCGTCGGCAGCCGCCCGTGGTGCCGCTGACCCTAACCTCTGACCTTCATCTTCAACAGTCCCCACAGCAGCTCTCGCCCACCCTCTCCTCACCCGTTAACATTACACAGGTAAGGATCAAAGTGGAGCAAAGCTTTGCAACAGGAGTGCTCTCATACCCCTTTTCCACCGAGCTGGTTCCAGTGCAAGTTCAGAGCCAGAGCCTGACTTAGCACCAGTTCTTTGTGTTTCTTTGTGACTCCCAGGACACACGGAAGGTTTGCACAAACTGTTGCACACTGAAATCCACTACAGTCGCTTCCCACCAGTCGTACTTTTATAACTCTGATGTACTGCAGGATTTAAGCTTAGAATTGCAATGTTTTCATGAAAAACAGAGCACACCTACATGCGCTGTTTATTCCACTTGTAGAAATGAAAAAAAATCCCTCGGTTTCATCTTGGTCAAATCCGACATTAGAACGCCCTAGTTTACTCTTTTTAAAGTTGTTGTTGGTTGCACCACTGTCTGAACACCGTGGCCACAAAGCAGCCGCAGCCTGCTATGTGGGACGTTCAGGGAACATTGGTAAATTGTAATGTCTGTCGATAAGAAAATGTTCAGCTAGTCATATGTTTTGCCTGTGACAAGGTGGGAAGTGAACACGTTAGTCTGGAGTCCTGTGTCGACTTCCGTGTGGCGCACGCGTTGTTCGGTAAACGGCTACATATGCAGTGACCTATGGTGAGGCTCTAACTTGCTTTGCCGATGGAAAAAGCAAACAGGTTCTTAGGAGGTGCCAGATTTGAACCAATTAAGCACTGGAACTAGCACTTGGTTCTTCTTGGTAGAAAAGGGGTATCAGCGGTCTTGATCTACACATCATTTGGCTTAAACATTGTTATTCCCATACAGCTGGCTGCAGTGCTCCACAAAGTCCTTCACAAATGTGCCTGGCTCCATAAAATGTTGTGTTTTTTTAACAGCTGAACTGCATATTTAAAAAGCCTGGGAATTCAAACAACATTTAAACAACCTTCTGTAGCTTCCAGTTAAAGCAGCATATATCTCACTTGACTGGACTAGTTTGCATGCGTCTTTCCGCAGGCCGTGCCCACAGAAACCATGACCCTGGAGCAGCAGCTTTCCCAGTACCCCCTGTTCAACCAGCTGACCGCTCAGGCCCAGGCCCAGCTGCTCAGCGACCTCCAGAAGCAGCAGGCTCTGCCACAGGGCATCCAGCTCATCACCTTGCCAACTCTGGCCTCCACTGGTACACCCACAGCCACTGCCAGCAGCCCCTCTCCAGACAGCCAGACCACCGCCAGCATCAGCATCAGTTCGGTAAGAAACAAGGACGTCTAAACGAGAAAGTTGAAGCAGCGATAAAAGTCTGATGAAATGACTGGTACCATTTTTGCTTATTCTAAAGCTTCTGCTCATTTTGCCACTGAAAGTTCTACAGCTGCCAAGAATACGTCGCAGTAAATACCTACACATACCTTTTATGCTGTTTGACATTTTGAGGATTAGCTCACCTAATTAGCAGAAGCACATCTTTACTCTTAATAACCAGATAACTTTGTTGTTCCACTTATTTTCCAGGCAGAACTTTTTATCGGTTGTGTGACGTTGACATTTTGCTGTGGAAGATACTTTTGTAAATCTAATGAAAGTGATAAATTCTTCTCACCATTTGGCACTTGGAATATTCTCAGATTTCTCATCTTCTTATGCTGCTTATAATGTAAAAAAAAAAATACACCTTTGATCATTCTCTATGACACAACAGCTGCTTTAACATTTAAGTAATGACATTTTCCACAAATGTAGACAAGCTGAGCAGCCACACAGGTGTCCCATACCTGACTGTGGTTGGTAGCACACATTATGAGCAGATGCTAGGTTGATGCCTTCTCACGTCCCATCCTTTGAGATTTGTGTGTGACAGGCACGGAGCTTAGTGCTAGCTAACCCTCTTCCCTCCAACAGTACCGCAATCAGACTGGCTCACCAGCCACTCAGTCTCCAACCTCCCCAGTCTCCAATCAAGGCTTCTCCCCCGGAGGCTCGCCTCAAGTAAGGGCCCACCCACCGAGCTAGCTGCTGTTTGGGGAAGGGCTTTGCTCCTGGGGGAAAGCTAACTGTAGATAGTTAGGCTGCTTTTCATTCTCTGTCTCAGCAGTTAACCCACTCATGGTGTCAGCAACTGCATAACTCATCCCTTCATCACCACTGTCACTGTTCACTGTGTGCATGACAACATGGTGATAGTTTGTCGATGGAGGCCCTGACCATTTGTCGGCCTTAAAATGTTCATCCCTTGAGCTTCAAGTCTTCTTACGGCCGATTCACGCGACCCAAATTCGCTTTTCGGACACCCGTGTGCAGTTTAAAGTTTGTGACCGTGTTGCAAGTACGCTGAAGGCACATGTGCCACAAAAACAAGCGGCGCTTAAAACAAATTCATTTCCATTTTCAACTTTTTTTTGGTGGATTATTATTCGCTTGTTTACCTTTTGTGAGTCAAAAACTCTGTGGCAGCTAGTGGAAGCTCAGAGCGCTAAAGTCTGCCCAGTTTACAGCTGCTATTCACATAAACACCACACGCAGGGAAACGCAATCGGAGGTTTAACCCATCTTCAGCTAAGCATTTGGCAAGACGGCTTTGCGTGTGTTTTATTAATACGCTTCATGTGTTCAGCGTTTTTTCAAGGTGCAAGGACCCTTTATAGCTAAAGGCCGTATCAAGAAGATAGAAACTGAAAAGCTCAGTTATCATCAGCAATGCTAAAAAGAAAAAAGAAGCAAAATGTTCCGCATGAAAATAGATCAGAAATGAGATAAAACAAACACAAGTTATAAGACTCCATTATATAGAATGCTTTTACTTCCTTATGAACTTTTAATGACCATTTCTGCAGATCTTGAAGCATCGCCACCAAATGTAGAAGAAATAGTGTCACATGCTTGTGCACAAGATGAACAGAACAGGGACCAAATCATAAAAGAACTGTTCGATACTTCTACTAAAGGTCAGATGCGTGACAGACGATCAAGAAGGAACAAATCAGATGTTCAAATACACAAAATATAATATACAGTAAACAATTTAAACTGAGGCTTTTCGTGCACAGATTAATCCACCCCAGGTGCATCAGTGGCTACGAGGCTAATGCTAAAAATAGTTCGACCGGGACTCCACCACTAAAAAAAAAAAAAGGCCATTCACACAGTGCTGACTATGTGTTCAGTGGTGCTTTTCTCATCGCAAGAATATTATGAAGGGAAATTCCAGCATTTGTCAACCTGGGCGGTTTTCTCATTCTCCGTGTCCATCGTGACCACCAGTCAGTCATGCTAACATTTTATTCACCACCCCCCATTATCGACATTTAGGGAACTCTGACTCAGCCTCGAGCTCTGACAACTTTCCCAAATAAGCTTTAAATAATTTAACAATCTCTAATACTTTGACGCCGACTGAAAGTTGAACTTTGTTCCTGCTGAAGTCTGCGTTTTCCGAATCTGCACGGAGGTGGTGAGTGACGTGTTACCATGAGCCAGAATCCAAACAGACGGAAACATCAGGATTACTCCCACGTTGAAAATACCTAAATTTCCCTTTCAATAAGTGACTTGGTGTTTGTGTCCTTGTGAACAGGGCTGCCGCGGTCCACACGCCACGGCGCCGTTGTGTGTCCCGTCCACAGGGTTGAGACAAACCAACACGTTCACACTCCCATTCCATCTCTTAGTGTCTCTGTCATGTTAAAATGATGACGTGTGTGTTGAATTGTAATTATTCATCAAAGAATGTCACTTTTTCATATTTTCTGCTGCTACTTTAGCTCCCTGTTTTGTTTTGTTTTTTTGTTTGTGTTCTTAACCGCGACAGCCCTAGTCATGAGAACCATTTGCTTTCTCCACTGCTCAGTCTGACAGTTGTGTGACTCTGTGTTTTTTGCTTGTGTCTTTTGTTATCCATCGCTGAAACGTCTGCTTGTCGACCCGGATAACGTCCCTCTCCGCTAATTTTGTTTGTGCCTCTCCATTGTAGCCATTGTCATGCCTGCTCCTCTGAGTTTTGTGGCTTGCTTCTCTTCCTCCAGCACATTCCTGTGGTGGGCAGTATATTCGGAGACTCCTTTTATGATCAGCAGCTGGCATCAAGGCAGACCAACGCTCTCTCTCACCAGGTAACAGAACACACAAACAGTAAACCGCTAAGACAGAAGCGCTTTCTTCAGGTCGTCCCTGGCCTTACTTTCGGTTACAATTTTGTGCTTTTTTTTTTTTTTAGCTGGAGCAGTTCAACATGATCGAAAGCCCCATCAGCTCCACCAGCCTTTACAACCAGTGTTCCACGCTCAACTACACACAGGCGGCCATGATGGGCCTGACTGGGAGCAGCCTACAGGACTCTCAGCAGCTCGGCTACAGTAGCCATGGAAACATCCCCAACATCATCCTAACAGGTAGCGACACAAGCAGACATGCTGTCACTTTATTACACGAACACGCGGCACTCGTTGAACGGCGTAATCTGTAACGTTTCTGCATTTAAATGTTGAAAACAAAAACGTATATTTTGTTGACGTGTACTTTAGTTATCTCAGATACTTCTACATTACTATATAACTATGAATTTTAATTATTAATCAAGAGTTATCATCAATAGTTTATCAGATTAAAGATATGTTACCTGATAAGACAGAAGGTATTGTACATTAACTGCAGTACCTGATTGTGCCACCAAGTGGAGCCTTATAATGTTCAAACAGATGGAAGTTCGTTTGCTGTGTCTGATACCGTAGCAACCTGAGGAGGCTTGGACTACGGGAAGTTCTGTGTTGGCAGGCAGAGAGCATTGTGGGGGTTTGGCTGCCAACGGGCCACCGCGACAAAAGACTCCTGTGCTGGTTAACAGCTTCCATCCAGAGCTCATGTAGTGGATAGCATTTTAACAGCTGAGCGGCTGATGTAACTGAGCCACTGTTATGGTAAAGGTTATGTGTCCTCACTCTATCAGCACACAAGATAGCATCCACCTATTTCATTAGGGACTGATAATGTAGGCTATGGTTGATTAGGAACATTGTTTAAAATGTAAATCCCCAGTTCTAACGTAAAAAAACAAAACAAAACCTGATTTTATTTGCTGTAACACTGCATTTCATTGTGATCGTTGGTCAGAGGAGTCGTATCCCCTTCACTTACTGTAGCCAGGAAAAAGTGTACACTGGATGATACGAGGTGTGTCTGAGAAGTTCCAGGACTGGTGTCACAAAGGATGTATTTCGTATCCAAACTACCAACTACGAGTTTTCCCCTTTGAAGTAATCCTCCTGGAGTCTAACACACTTCCCAGCCTTCTCGTCACGCCGCCATGGATCTGAGAAGGCTTCTTCAGGGATCCTCTGCAGCTCCGTCGTCACAGCCATCTTGATGTCGTCCACGTCTTCTAAACGGGTCTCCTTGATGGCCCCCTTGAGCTTGGGGAAGAGGAAACAATACGACAGAACCAGGTGGGGTGAGTAGGGAGGTTGCTCCAGCACAGAGATGTTCTTCTCAGCCAGGAACTGTGGGATGCTCAGGGTGTTGTGAGCAGGTTGTCATGGTGAAGCAGCCACGACTTGTCCTGACACAACTCTCACCTCTTCTGAACGAAGCAAACACCGCAGGATCTCTTTGTAGATGTACTGGTTGATCGTCTGAAGGGGCGTCGTTTGTAGTTTGGGTTAGAAAGCTATCCTTTATGACACCAGTCCTGGAACTTTTCTGACACACCTCGTATGTACATGAGTGCAGAAGGAAGAAGTAGGCGAAGTAGTTGGGTAGCCACTTTGTTGGGGTTGTTTTATACTATTGTTTGTGTTGCCGTCTTGTGATGGATCACAATTATTTTTGATGTTTTGACCGTAGATAACAGCGACAGGCTACCCCAGGTATAGTTAGCAAAGGGCCTTGCTGACAAAGACTAGCGTGATGCTTAATGACCTCCGACCAGAGCTCATGTGTTTGAGACGAGGACTGTGCTTCTGATCTTTGATATCAAACGAGGACGCCCTAATCACTGCTGCTAGTTTAAAAAAAATGCTAAAATACTACTTCAGATTTCGTTTGAATCAGTTTAAAATTGTTCACGACTGTTGCCAAGCCTTCCCGTCTTTCTCAGATGTCACATTTCTCAGTGACAGGTGAGTCTCCGCCGAGCCTCTCCAAAGAGCTGACCAACTCTCTGGCGGGCGTCGGCGACGTCAGCTTCGACGCAGACTCTCAGTTTCCTCTGGACGAGCTGAAGATCGACCCGCTCACCCTGGACGGACTGCACATGCTCAATGACCCCGACATGGTGCTCGCCGACCCCGCCACCGAGGACACGTTCAGGATGGACAGGCTGTAACGCAAGACGCTGACTGTGGCCTGGAACAAAGAGGAAAAAAAAACCACACTAACTTGTGAACGGAGAGAAACAAAGGGCAGGATGAACCCTCTCCCTCGTTGCATGGCCGTCCAGCTGTCCGACCTCGCCCTCGACTCCGTGAAGCCCTTTGAAACGATGCGCCACCAAAAGACAACAGGGAAAAAGACATCCAGTGGCTCGCCGGGGAATGGCCTCGCTGTCGTTTTGAATGAGATTGGTTGCTCAGCGCTTTCGCTAGCCTACTGTGTTTACAGTGTACCATTACATGCCACATATATTCCAAAAATGCACATTTGAGAGTTTGTTCTTTTTTCTTTTCATATCCATTTTAATATTTGTTTTGTTGATATGTGCTTGTAGCAGGAAGCTACTAGGACATTGGGCTAAACCGTACCCGTTACAACTGGCTGTGTTTTAAAAAGAAAACTAAAAAAAAAAAGAGACATGGCCGGTTTGCTCGTACCCTGCAATGAAGTGAATCGGTTTTCCCATCATGCCATTACGGCTTTCTGTTTCGCACTCAAAGCTTTATTTTTTGACAACCAAATGTTATTTTCGTCATGTTCTGAATGTTTTTATGCTTCGTGTATTTATATGTTCTATTTATTTATTTGGTTAAAGATTTTATATTCCATTTCATAATTTAAATTTGATGCCAAAATGCTCTCTGTAGGCATAGTGTAAAATTGCACTGATGTAATCTGTGTCTATTTATTAATTACTAACATATTTATATATGTGTTTGTTAAGCTACTTGGTTAATGAAGGAGTGCAAAACCTCCCCATAGTTGCTCTTTGCTGTTCAATGTGCCATTCTCTGATATAGGATGTGGTCGACGTCGCTAATGCTGCAGCCCAACAGTCAAATCTAAACTATCACAGTTTTTAGCACAGCTCCAGAAAATGTTGCGTGCTCCAGAAATGGGTTGGTGTTATGCCACTTGAATTAACTGTTTTCTGAGGAAAATCATCAGGTATTTCTATTTAACTAGAACGCAAGAAAAAGGCGTCCAAATTCATTTTCTGCCAGTGAAAAGCCAATACGTATATCTCTATATATATAAATATATATATACATATATTCAGACCGAACTTCTCAGTGAAGGAAGACGTCTGTTTTTAAACCAGAGAACACTAAAATCTTAAATCTTTTTAAGTCGTCACTGTGAAATCACCTGATTTTGCCTTACAGGAGTATTCTACTGTTCTACTTAAGTGTCTAATGTGACAACGTATTTTCGTAACTTATTGTACCATTTTCTTGGATCTGAGAGGAACTTTTGGTCAGTGATATTTGTGGTTATGTTGTGTTAAGGTTTGACAAATCAATGTACTGTATTTTGTAGCGGTACACTTTATAGCCAAATTGTTGGTGTTTTTTAAAGTGGGGCAAAAAAAAAAAAGAACTTAAAAAAATATATATATCAAAGGAGGGTTTAACGTATTTTGAGAAGGAGTGCAATTATGGGGAGGCTTTTTGCTCCTTGGCAGGGAAGCTCTCACAAAAAACAGACCTTTGACACCTGGGTCACCGATTACGGAAATACCATTCAAAGCATTGAGGGTTTAAAGAACGGATATTTAACAGTATCAATACCTCCAAATGGTTGTTTTCTTAAGATGCAAACTTCCGATGTCAGTGAATATAAAGATATTTTCTATGGTAGAACTCACTCCATTTAGTGAAGCGGATGAAAGGGCGCGCCAAGTTTCCGTCCACGAAAAAAAGTATTTATACACTAAGTATTGTATGCAATCTCTCTGCAGCACCGAGATCTGTTCCATTCAAAAGATTCACAACAACGATCAGGGATGTAGTGGAGTCTACGCCGCCGTTTACACCACCTCTTCAAGTGTTTACGCAGAATCATCCTCAATGACATCCATGACGCGATTCCCTCCTTTTGCCAAAAACGTAGAACAACCTGTGTCGAACCTCAAACCTGACATCATTATAACAGTGACTTCACATCTGGTGCCAATCGAGTCCGCCTCGGCCTTTTGTCAGAGTTTCCCTGAGAGTCATGTGTAGGTCTGTGGGATCATGTTTGGTATATTGTAATGTTTGTGTACAGATGTTTTTACTCACCTAAAGCGCTGATGGGAAGAGTGTCCAACCCCCCAAACCCACCCTCTGAAAAAGGAATCACGTTTGGTTTACCTCCGCAGTTGTTTCAGTTCAAGTGTTTCTCGTCTGCTGTAAACTTCCATCGACGGTTTTGTTTGCCTTCAACAGATTTGTGATTCCTATGCAAATGAGACTAAAAAAACAAAGACCCTTAAAGGAAAAATCCACCTCTGATGTTTTATTGTTGAACGCAGCCCACGTGTTAAGCTGGATTTATTCTTTGTTTTTATTGCTATGGGATTTGATTTGACTTTCCTTTATATGTTACCATGATTTGGAACAACGTGAAGATATTAATCGAAAGTAGGAGCTATTATTGCTCAGTAACCCCCAACATCTAAAACGTGGTACTTGTAGTTTTTGTGTACCAGACATAGAATCCAAACTTCCAGGATTTAACAGTTCCATGTACCACAAAGTAAATGCTGCTGCTAATGCCCAGTGCAGTTATTATGTCCTGGAGGACAAATTAGATTTCCCAGGTTAAGCTACATCTCTTGGAGATCCTAATAAAGTGCAGTCGTGACTCGATAATCCGACACTAAATGTAAAACTTTCTTTTATGTCGGATAGTTAAGACGGAGGTCCAGATACAAAGAGGGCTTGATGCTTTATGGGTAATCTGTTGTTAATATTTATTGTTTATAGTTGTTATAATAACTAGTGTATTGTTAGAACACTACGTATCGCTGCATTTTTTTTCTCTAATTGACCGGTGCGCTTGTGCACCTTCCGGCCACTTCCACCTCGGGGCAGCGCTCTGACGGGGTGGAAGTGGCTGGAACACACAGGCAGTACTTGGCTGCTGATGCTAGTTTAGCTAGCGCTCACAGTTCTGTTTCCACCATCGGGGGTGGCGGCGGCGAGGGAGTGGTGGGCAAGATTGTTACCATCCATGTTTACTTCTGTAAACACTGAGCATGCTCGCTGCGTGTGACGTCGTCGTGTCCTCTTCTGCACATGCGGGACACTTTTGGGTCGTATGAAGTTCACACAGCAGATCACATACAAGTCGCATTTAATTGGAAATGTGAAGGAACTCACAAAAAAATTGGATTTCACAAAGAAATCCTCATTGAGCATGAAGTCCTGCAGTGTGAACGTAGCCAATCTGTGGGATTGTTCAGTCAGATAATATGCTGTTATCTTATGTGTGACATAAAATGTCATGTTGGAGTCAGAATCCAAGGCTGTCGCTATGTTAAGGCTGTTTTTAATGGGTTCCGTTCGTTTTTCCTAAAAACCTGTCGGATAGTAAGGTTTAGGATTGTTAAGGGTCGGATTATGGAGTTACGACTGTAGTTCTGCTTTAGAAAATGTAAATAGATTAAATTTATTACACGAGTGCGGGACGCTGTCGAGTGTTGCGGTGGTGCTATGACAATCAACGAGTGAAATCGTACCGTGAGATATAAATCCATTTCTCCGACAGGGAAGCATAAATCCAGCTTCACTTGAAAGAATTCAGAACTCCTTTAGGAAATGATATCGCCACCTGTTGGAACAAAGGTGCAAAATCGCTGCTCTGGAAAGAAACATTTTCTCTCTAATGGGAAAGGAGCTGATGTCAAACCTGAGAAAAATAAACCACTAAGAAAAACAACAACAAAGCCCTGAAATGCAGATTTTCATTTTTTGTAACTACTGTTGGGTTTTTCCTTTAAGTCTCTGGAACAAATGTGTAGAAGTCATTCTCTACAGATTTCATGTGTCCAAAGGTTTTTATACCTAAAAGAAAAGGAAAAAAAAAAAAAGTGTGCAAACGTCACTGTTGTGTTGCCAATAATGCCAGTGATCCGAGCTTTCCTGTCACCTCCCTTCCTTCATCTTGCTGAATACTAGTCGTTCACACTGACCTTGTACATACGCTATAGCTGAAACAAAATGCATGCCTAAACTGACGGTCCGAACCTCTGAACGAAGGCCTTCTATAGCTGCGCAGGTTTGATTTGTGTAACATAACGCTACCACAAAGTCTAAAGGGATGCATGTATGGGTTTCTCCTGTGCGACAGTGAACTCCTGTTAAGTGACTCCGTTACCTCCATCTCTGTACAATGCTACTTCACGAATGATAAAAAGAATGTATTTTCTGTGTCCTAGTTTTAGCCTGTTGCCAAATGATCCGATGCTTGGAGTCCAGTCACAGTCGGACCTCCTCCTCCTTCTTCTTCTTCTCTTCAGTCTCCCTCCGAGGAATCAGACTGCTGCTTGTTCCTCTCTTTCTCTTCCTACTGTAGCATCTCTCTGCATAAAAAAGAAATCCGGCCCCTCCTCTTCCTCCTCTTCCTCCTCCTCCTCCGTCAGCACAAACCTTTTGGCTTTTTTCTTGAGAAAATGTAAGCGGGTTCTGTCTTGCAAAGGTTGGCGCTGATCGTTTGCATACGTGGACTTGAATCTTCTGAAGCTTGTGCGTTACGCAGTCGGCTGCATGACATGATAGACACACTGACACGTTCTGTACAGGACTCTGATCTGGCTCTGCTGAAGTGGACTGTGTTTTAAGACATCAGATATGGTTGTTGTTGTTTTTTTTTTCGTTGTTGTTGTTGCCTATCATGTCAGGTTCTGGACTGGGTGAAGTGTTTTTTTTTTTCCCGTTGTTGTTTTTGTTGTCCACTGTAGTTGCTTCGCACTTTATTTGTGACTTCCTGGCTTTTTGAGCAAGGACTGTTCCTGCCCCATGTGAATGCTGACTGTTTAACACCCAGATGTATACTCCGGAGATATTTTCATGTCAAAGAAAAAGATGAATTCTCTATTTTCCTTTGTAAACTATATTTTGGCTTGTCTTGTTTTTATCTGTGAAGATTTTAGGGGATGCAAAACTAGAAAGGGCTTACTCCAGTGCAGCTTGCGCTCTCGTGTTGGAAAGGAACGGCGCTCCGAATGTATTTTCTTTGTCGGTCATTTCCCCTCCTTCCCTTACATGAAAAAAAAAAGAAGAAAAAAAATCACGTTGAGTTTCAGTCGGCGACGCTGATCGGCCTTATTAGTTAGTTGCAGCCTGAAAAAAACCCTCAAGTGAAGCAGTTTGTATCTTAACTCTGACTACTGCCGCTGACAGGACTGTACGGCGCTGCAACACAACGACTCTTCTCCGCTGCATCATGCTTCACTTCCAGCTGCAGTCAGTAGAAAACACGATGTGGACGAAGCACGTTGCACCGGAGAACAGTTTGCATTTGACTTGCATTGAAACGAATGAATAGCAAAGGATGCCTTCTCCATTGTCCCTCAAGACTTTAAGTTCGGCAGCTTTGATTAAAGTCAGAGGATGGAGAAAAAAACCAACAAGAAAAGGCAGTTATGAGAGCGGAGAAGTACATTTTGCTCATCAGAGTCTCAACGTGTGCCGAGTCTGAGACGAAAACACCAAAATGTAGAAAAACTTAAAGCTGGAGGTCCGTTTTTTCAAGATGCACCGATCATCTTGTTTTCTTACGTCTTGTAAACAACTTTCACTCGTCTGCTCGTTTCAGCCTCGAGGCGCCTGCGTTGCCTCTTAGCGCGGCCTGTTCACGTCATGCTGAGAAAGTAATGGAGTTCAGCCTCGAGCTGAGACGGCGGACGAGTGAAGCTCAAGCAGGAGTCCTGAGTTTAAAGGTCCCAGAAGAGCAGGAAAGAGTTGCTCCTTCGTCTGCTTGTTCCCAGAGTGTTTTCGGTCTGAATACTGTCCCTTTAATAACACAGGGTTTTCTAAATGACTACAATCCATTGGAACATGTAAAAGGCTCTGGAAAAAAAAAACAGTTTAAGTTCCACTTAAAGCTTATAGTGAAAATAGCATTATATCACTGTTGTCCTGTAAGTCGTAGTAAAGATCTGTAGTTATTTATTTGTTGCCATGTGATTCTCCTTATGTGACCATTTGTTTATAAGATGAAAGAAAAATGTCAATTAAATTGAATGTGGAAGACAGATTTTTCTCTGCACATAGTCTTGATTTGCAGAATAATGCTGATTAAAAAAAAAGCAAACCTGTCTGGTGTCATTCTACGAGGTGGCAGCAGCGTGTTGCTGTGGACATGCATGATGTTTCAACCTGTTGTATATTGTCTTTGCTATCGTTTCTATTTTGTAATCTGTATTTCCAAATGCAAATTTAAAAAGATTATTTTGGATATGTGCATGCTTGTGAAATGTTCAGAATGTTGATTTCCACTAAAAGCTGTTGAGTTTGAAAAAAAAAAGAAAAAGTCACGTCTGTTACTTAAAACCAAACGTTTGGCCTTTTGTGTGGCGGCGGAGGCGAGCGCCGCCCTGCGTAGCGTCATGTGAATGTGAAATGATCACTGATTGGATCACTTCATCGTAACGGCATTTCTTTAAAGCTAAACAATGTGGTATTTACTCTTTTGTAAAAAATAAAAACCAATCGTTTAGATTTACAGCATTAAACCTGCAGGAAATTCAGAGCAACAAAAGTCAACTATTTACTGAGATTTAAAAATGTTTTCAACACTGCATATATCTGACTTTGTTTTTAATGACAGGCCCAATCCTTTTGAACTGCTTTGGATCTTTATCATGCTGGAATATTCATCTCCTGCACACTGGAAGGTCCTCTTAACAATTTCTGTTTCCTGCATGCATTCATGGTGCCATCTGTAAATGTCATTTTATTTTATTTAGTTCACCTTTATTTCACCAGGTAAGTTAGCTGAGAACTGGTTCTTATTTTCAGAGGCTGCATACAAACAAGATGAACAACAGATTACAGTCACACATTTTGCACTTGAGCAGCTCAACATCGTGACAGTCTGACTTCTGTGCTTCACTGTCAGCACCTCATTGTCCTGATGAGGTTCATGCTGGACCTCAATCTGAGCCAGACCAGTTCATCTCGGTCTCATCAGACCAAAGAATGTGCTCCTAACATTCACCGGGCTTGTTTTCGTGTCTGTCAACAAAGTTTGATCGTGCAATTTTGCGCCAAAATGCAAGGAAGGGTTTTGTTTTTTATTCTTGGATGTCTGTAATGGAAGCAATGACCTTCACAATGTTTGACTGATACTGTTGGATTTTCCTGTTAACACTGTGCCAATGATGAAGTCTGTTTTTCAGAGATAGATTGTAAAAGTGGTGTACTGTCGGTAGCATCAGTTTAGGAGAACAGCCACACTGCAGCTCTGATTGGTGGCTCGTTCTATCCCTCTGACTG